ACCAACTCAAGGGGGTCGTATTTTAGTATGGAATCAGGGGATCGTATTTTTCAGAAAATGCACAACGCGATGGCGTGCCCTGCTGCGTACCACATTGAACATGGCGTAGGATGGGTTTTTTTTCATAAGCTGTTTCCATTTGAGACAACTATCACCGGTCTTGTGCAAACATGGTTACTACTGCCCTAATACAGCAGTATTCCGCCAAAAACGTAGCCGCCGCCACGTTTATATGAAGTCGCAGTTTTGATGTTGTTCTCCAGACTTTCCTGATTGGTTCGAGCAGTTGTTTCGTTTGATAGTTCTCGTCACGAAAAAATAACCTACTAATTTAAAATCCGATAGAAAGTTAATATTACAGATAGGAATCGGTAGTGACATTGGCGGTAGCATTCGGATTCCTTCATTCATGAACGGCATTTTCGGAATGAAAACGACTCCAGGTAAATGCCCTTTGAGCAGTTTTCTTTCTTACTATTTCAGAATATGATAATTCTTCACTAGTTTAGAACAGTTTTCCGTTCTTTCTCGGCTCATCGATGGCGGGGGGGGGGGGGGGAGAAGAGAGAGACAAAAATTTTAAGCATGTACCCGCCATGTACCGACGGCGGTGAGAGCATGGCTGCCTCCCTCATTGAAGGCTGCGCTTCTGGTGGGATGGGCCGTTTTGAGACAGTTGCAAATGTCTCTGTCCTGCAGTTGTAGACAGGATGACAGTTGTCTCAAATGGAAATGTAACCCTTGGAAGGTTTCCTTTACCATGTTCGGATGGAGTACGCAGCCACGCTCTCCCCATCTCCTAGACTGTAGGTGAGCATTAAACATGCATAAAAACGAAAGTGGGTATGACGTGAAATTGCAATACAAAAAGAGTGGAAATTTAAGTTGTCATGCTGAAAATTTCAAACTATTAAAATAAGCGAAAGTGGCATTCGTTCTACGAAAGCTGATGTAAGAGACAACCTTTAGCGAGGGTGATCAAAAGTGGAAAAATGCTAGTTCATTCGAAGATGTAGTTAAAAAATAGAGGCGCGTGTAGTGAAATCTATACAAAAGTTAAAGCTTGCAACGGCATTTTCCCAGATGAGGCAACTGCACTCTTTGGTAACTCTGGGAAAAATGATTACGACAGCCTTCCATTATTTTAGCCTAGTCTCACCTAGTGACCAACATGTTTGGTGGGTTAATTCACTTATTGGGTCACTGGGTACAGAGGGACATTAAGCATACGCCCGTTCCGAATCCCCAGCATGAAAAGGGCTGGGGTCGTATTTACTGGAATGTACCCTAGTGTGCGGCGGAGACCTCTATAACGAAACTGGAAAAAAGCGATAGATCACTAAGTCAAAATTGAAAAAAGTATAAAAAGAAACACGAGAACAAAGAGGAGCGGTTCTCTCCCCACAACTCAGAGTCCTAAGGGAGTGTAAGAGTCGGAACATTATGACAAAAAGGGATATTCGCTCATTCCCTACCTCCCCTTTCTCATATGAAGGAAGTCCACTTGTGAAGTCCTGGTGCTTGGTTCTGCTTTGAGGTTTTTAGGATTAATTTCAAAATAAAATGAGTATTAACAAGGTTTAGAAGTACGAAAACCACGCAGGGCAAAATCAAACAAGGCGCTGATAGTCATAGATAAGTGGTAGAAAAAGAATTATCTGGTGCTAACGGTATTTGGGGGGAACCACGCGCTCGCGCGAAGTATGGACCTCCATCCGACTCTTCTGCGTCCTCCTCCCGGCAAAATATAGTAATTTTTAATATTTAGGACCGCAGAACATAACACATGCGTTAGCTATATTCAATTGTTAAAACAGTCAAAAGCTGAAAAGTGTGAGGAAAAAATTATAGGCTGGAAGGTTCTACTGCAAAAGATTGCTGCCTGCTTGTTGTTTACTGTTATTGTTGACTACGACAAATCAAACACTTGTTTTCACAAACGGCTTACTGTGGGGTTTCTTAGCAATATTCCGGTGGTATCGTTGCTTGTTTACTTCCATTTGCCGCTGAAGCGTGGCGCTTCAGAAATCCCTATTAGTGAAGAGGGGCCCGATGAGTCGATGCACGTCCCGAGCGGCGCGTGGTCCCCCCAAAATACGTAGCACGAATATATTTTTTTCTTTGCTAGCAGAACAAAATTTCGAATCTCAAGAATCATTTCCAATGAGCTTATCGCATTTTCGTAGCGCTCCGCGCCTGCCAGTCGTCAGTTTCTCTGCGCACTCTCAGTGACAGAGAGCACGCAAGAGACCAGCGCCAGCTATACGCTGTATTCCTTGGTGGCGAGTGTCTCGGTCTCCGCTGGTTTTAACACGCAGTATCTCAACGGTAACTTACGGGCTTCGTGAACCTTGTCCATTCGTGGTTGTGTCGAAAACCACAATTTTTGGATCGCTCACTCGGGGAGTCCGGGCGGGCAACAGAAGCGTTCATTCGAAAGAAGGTTGCAACCCTCTCTGCCTCAAAAGCTAGTGCGTTCATTTCGAAAAGAAGGTGCAGCCCTCTACGACTCAAAAGCTGTTTTGTACGTATACTCCTATAACTTTTTTATTTATATTTTTAATTTTGATCTATTTGGGCCATTGCTGTCGTAAATTTTGCCGTTCACAGTGCATTATTAAATGCATATACGCGCTACTACTAGATGCTGATAGCTTTGTTGCGAAAATACTGTCAAAAAGCCAAAGAGCTCGCCTGCGACTGCGCGCCCAATATCCACGTTTGAAAAGACCTATCCATTCTTCTGAAATAGGTTTCAATTCGATTCAGTCGGTACTTACAGCGAGTTCCCATTTCAGGTGTAATTCCACTTGACGGTCATGTGCCTGTTGTTAAGGGCTATCCAGAGAAAATGCTACGAGTGGGGCCTATGTGCCGTTATGTTGAGGATATACCACGTCTCATTGAGGTAAGTGCAGGAACATTTTTGCTCATTAGAACCAGAATGTCTATGCATTCCCCACAATCCATGAACTTTGCCTTCTTGGATTGTCCTCATATCGATTTTCCGCATACCTTACTTACTTGTAAGCCATATTGGCTACGTTACACAAAGCATACTGGTGAATATAGGTCAGTGGGAACGGTCCATATCGTTGAGCAAAAGTACTACGACACTTTGAAGAGATTGTTTGAGAAGAAAAATGGAGATTTTTGAAGGTTCTATTCCATGGTTAGCGTACTGTGCTCCTGGTGGTTTCAGCGGACAGGTTCCCCGATGGCTTCGCGTCAGCTTTTAGAGCTTGAAAATCCTTGGTAGATTATATCACTCTTCGATCCGCTTTACCTTATGTCTTCGAAAGGCTACTAAGTTGGGAATAAGGTAGCTAACATCTGCGCTATATTACGGTGGGCTGTTCTTCACCACGCCCTAGCGTCTCGTTGGTATCAGCCTCATGCATTTCGAGATATTTTATTCAACGGTAGGACAAACATTGGAGCATAGTGGACGGTCATCTGTGAGGAATACACAGTAACCGTTTACCTGACACGCTGGAGGCGCAATTGGATACGATTATCACTAACCATAACTTGACGACATTTCCCGCCTACACCCACGTAGTAATATCTAGTTGCTTCTCGGTATCGTGGAATTCCTTGCGATGGTTACCAAATGAGCTTACCCAGTCTCATAGGCGAGCCGATTGGCCCTGGCCAAGCTT